ACCCCCGCCCTTCCCCCCCCCCATCATTTCGAATGGGCTTGGGGTCACTTTAAGCCCAACTCCAGTTAGGTAAAGCCTGGAGATAAACATCTTAATGAAACCGACCCTCAGGTGTGAGCCGGTCATTGTTTGGTAGTTAGTGTCTTGTTGTCAGTGGTGAGACTTGGAGGGAAATCAGACCCTTCCTTTCACGTCACTTCGGGACATAAAAGAGGGGGGGGGGATGGTTTAATGTATAGTATGGTGACATGAAGGGCTCTAGTGGGTCTAGCGAGTGAAAAACAAATGTCTATTCCATAGCATTAAAAAAACAACAACAAAAAAAAAAAACACACACACACACACAACTTTTCCAAACTTGCGTGACGACGGAGTAGGGGATCGTAGACACGGAGTAGGGGATCGTAGACACGGAGTGTGAATTGACGTTAGTCTTTTTCTCCTGCGGGGTGGGTCAGGGTGGGTGGATGAAAGGGCGTTCTAAATATAGAAGAATGACGTCAGTTTTCACGACATTTACATTTAAGAGATTTAAGAGGAGATTTACAATTCCTGAGAGATGAGACGTTGGTTTATTTGATGTCAATAGCGAAGGTTGCTAATCTACTGTGTGCCGTTTCATCAAAGGCAAAACGGCGATGCAATTTTAGCTAATAACAGTGTTAAATGTTAAAATGTATGAGTATGCCTTTTACGGTCGAAGAGTGCTAAAATGAAGGAAGATGCTATTGGGAGGAAAGTGTTGATGGAAGGAAGATGCTATTGGGAGGAAAGTGTTGATGGAAGGAAGATGCTATTGGGAGGAAAGTGTTGACGGAAGGAAGATGCTATTGGGAGGAAAGTGTTGATGGAAGGAAGATGCTATTGGGAGGAAAGTGTTGATGGAAGGAAGATGCTATTGGGAGGAAAGTGTTGATGGAAGGAAGATGCTATTGGGAGGAAAGTGTTGATGGAAGGAAGATGTTGACAGAAGGAAGATGCTGACAGAAGGAAGATGCTGACAGAAGGAAGATGCTGACAGAAGGAAGATGCTGACAGAAGGAAGATGCTGACAGAAGGAAGATGCTGACAGAAGGAAGATGCTAATGGAAGGAAGATGCTGATGTAAGGAAGATGCTGACAGAAGGAAGATGCTGACAGAAGGAAGATGCTGATGTAAGGAAGATGCTGACAGAAGGAAGATGCTGACAGAAGGAAGATGCTGATGTAAGGAAGATGCTGATGCAGGGTCGGCAAACTCAGTAGTCAACAGATCAGTATCAGGACGACTAAATTTTTGTTGAGCGCCAAATTTCTTGTCAAGAACCTGTCTAGAACCATGTTTTTAGGAGTCAAACCCGATTTGTGACCGACTGGCCGAGCCGCACTCAGGTCGCTAAAGACCCGCAATTTGCCGACCACTGTGCCAATTGAAGGTAGATGCTCATGAAAGTAAGATGCTAATGAAATTAAGATGCTCGTGAAATTAAGATGCTCGTGAAATTAAGATGCTCATGAAATTAAGATGCTAATGGAGGCTAGGGTGGGTTTTGGAGTTTTTCTTCCGTGGAAGCAGAGGCCCCCGGGTACAAGATTCACGCCTGGGGACAAGATTAATTTTAAAGCGCCCCCTTTTCTTTTTTTAACTCTCAAATCCATTATTTTCCTCAATAAGATAATATCAAAGCACATTGTGACGCCCCTAACCAGCGGGCGCCCAGTGGCATCTGTCCCCCCTCCCCCCCCCCCTCCCTCGCTACGCGTCTGCGTGGAAGCATGTGTTACAATAACAACAAATGATTCTTTTTTTAACTCTCAAATCCATCATTTTCCTCAATAAGATAATATCAAAGCACATTGTGACGCCCCTAACCAGCGGGCGCCCAGTGGCATCTGTCCCCCCTCCCCCCCCCTCCCTCGCTACGCGTCTGCGTGGAAGCATGTGTTACAATAACAACAAATGAAATATGGTGTGGCGCATAGTTTGAAGTTAGCACAACCTTGGTGTTAAAAAATCCACATATCCTGTGTCGGTGCATGGGAGTTTAGTTTCAAGCACTGAATTCATTCCGACGGCCGATTAGCTTCAGCTTCAAGCACTTAAATTAATTCATTCCAACGGCCGATTAGCTTCAAGCACTGAATTCATTCCGACGGCCGATTAGCTTCAAGCACTGAATTCATTCCGACGGCCGACTAGCTTCAAGCACTGAATTCATTCCGACGGCCGATTAGCTTCAAGCACTGAATTCATTCCGACGGCCAATTAGCTTCAAGCACTGAATTCATTCCGACGGCCGATTAGCTTCAAGCACTGAATTCATTCCGACGGCCGCGTTTGAGGATTCAAGGAGAAGGCTTTTCCTTTAGTCTTTTATTTTGCCTATGTATTATTTTTGTTTAAATTTATGTCGCCGAAGCTCAAAGTTAGCCCCGGGCGGCATGTAGTCTCGCCACTGGCAACTGTTCAAAACTTCTGGAAGTTGTATTTCTCATTAAAAACAAAAAATCTCTAACTCTAATACATTATAACTGAATGTTTTTGCTGTGTTAAAGTAGACCTATATTATTCCAGCTGCAACTTGTATGCAATAGCGTTCCGGGGGGGGGGGGGGGGGGGGGGGGGGGGGGGGAGGGGGAGGGGGGGGGGGGGGGGGGGAGGGGGTGACACTTCTAGTTAACCGCACTGGTATACACGAACTCTAGACCTATTGAAACGAGTGTCAGTATGTCAAAATGATGCCGCCAAAAGGTGACATGGGCCAAGTCCAACAGATGTAGAAAAATGTTCAAAATTCACGTCCATGTCCATATTAATTTACTTTTTTAAAATCGTTACAAAAAAATTATAACAACTCAAAAAACCTTTTAAGCGTGACATTTCTTGAAATACCCGTTAATTGGCTGTACATTTTTCTTAATACCGTTAACTTGGCTGTTTATGTTATTTGAAGAAAAATGTTTTTTTAAAAACCCACATAAAACAAAATACATTCTAAATTAATTTATAATTAAAATGTTGTTATTATACGAAATATTTAAATCATGCTGCATCACACATCCGGTTCAGTCAAGAAAAAAACACAACAAAAAACAATAAACAAGCAAAACACCCATAAGTTATAAGTTTAGCACTAGTCCAATATTAATGGCTGTGGTATAAGTTATGGCAGTAGTCAATGAGGTAGGCCGAGTTATTAACGTATTTAAATCCCTCATATTTATCGTAATAATTTAATCTTTTACCTTATTTCTATATATTTCCGAATTTGGATAATTATTTATAGAAAAAGTACAATTACAGTCACAGCCCACATTAAAAAAATAAATAAAAAAGGCATAATTTGCCGTAACTCAGTCTAACTGGCACAACCATACATACTGAACTGAGTGATACTGTATACTCAGTCATACTCATACCATAAATTAAAATACATTTAAAAGTTATTAATAGCCATAATTATAATTTAGTTAAAAAGACCTCGTAATCATAAGAACCAAATTCAGAGACTGCAGAAGTCAGAAGGTACAGAAAACTGCAGCACGCATTGTATCGCGGATATAGCAATCTGACCACATGATCCCAGTTCTTAGGGATCTCCATTGGCTTCCTGTAAGTGAGCGCATTGACTTCAAAATTCTGTCCCTGGCGTACAGCTATATAGAAGGCTCTGCACCTGAAAATCTTAAAGAAGTGATTTATAAACACATATCTTTATTAAAGAACCTGTGGTCTTCAACATAGTACTTACAGAGAGTTCCCAGTGTGGGAGGACACAGAAAGAAGTCATACGGAGTGCGCTCTTTTGAAGCGATAGTGGAGATAGCGCCAAAATTATGGAACAGTTTGCCCTAATCTTTGAGGGAAATTGAAAATGATAAAAAATCATTTAAGAAACATTTAAAGACTTTTTATTTAAATAGATTTAAGAACATCAGAGTGCTGTGAGCATGTTAAAGTAGCATGGATATAATTGCTATTTAAAATTCAATTCCATATTCATAATGATTATCACGACCATATTGAGTCATTTTTAGAATAATATTTTCTGTAAATCTCATTACTCTTTATTAATTATTGTAGTGACCATTAAAATGACCTAAAATATTATAGGCCTCCCCCTATCGCTCAGAATAATATTGATTTTAAGTTTAACTTATACTGATCATGAAATTATGACATTAAGAGTCAGATTGACTTAGTAAGCCTAGTGTAAGGACAAGGTTTTGATTTTGGTAATAATGGATTTCAGCGTCCAAAATTATATTTTTAAATTTATGAATTATTTCTTACTTTACTTCCTGTTTATTTGATAAAATTGACACATTGAGTGGGAGATGTGATAAAATCACTTCCATTTTATAAGTATATGAGTTACATTCTTTAAGTTACCCTGATAAAATTGACGTAAATGCTGAGAGAGCACATGCTCCCCAGGAAATAATGTCATTGGGACAGTTACTGACAGCTCAGCTGGTAGCGCAGCAGTTTGTAATTTATCCTCTTTGATACCAGAAATACTAACAAAGAATATGTGAATATGGTAGCGAGCCAAGGGCTGGCTCAACAAGAATACTTTACTTTGTACAATTTGCCATTGGCCAGCTGTATTAGTTTCCTATGGACAGGGATTGGATGATGTCCGATAGTCATCTAGAAGTTGCAACTTTCGTCAATTGATTAGTTTTGAAGGTAGCCATCTGACCTGGTTACGGGAAATTTTTTTAAAAGAAATTTCGTCAACGGAAAATTGATCAAACGGAAATTTGGTGGAATCTTTTTTTCAGTTACCACTATACCATTTTTGTCAAATTTCCTTTTGAAAGCACTATACTATTTTTATTATAAAAAAAAAAGAATTTACAATTAAATTTATGCCCTCAATGATTTAGTTATCCGCGTGGTGTATGGTGTTCATAATTATTAATTTGGAAGTTATCCTCGTTGTGTATGATGTTCATAATTATTCATTTGGAAGTTATCCTCGTTGTGTATGATGTTCATAATTATTAATTTGGGAGTTATTCTCAGGTGTATTGTGCTCATAATTATAAATTTGGAAGTTATGATCATGGTGTTCATAATTATTAATTTGGAATTTATCCTCGTGTTGTATGGTGTTCATAATTATTAATTTGTATTAGTTTCAATTGGTCATGAAATTTTGTTTCAGGCTAGAAGTGACTCTACTCTTGGATTTTGATGTCCCCTGTATTGGTGTAGGTCACGTGGTGACAGAATTTGTGCATCAGAATTCAATATGAATTTGAAAAATCTTTTTCAAGACTTCAATCCTAGGTATGATTGATAATTGAAATGGAGTATTATTAAATTTAGCCATATCATTATTTTTAAAATATATACAGTGGGGCCTCGGAATGCGAACTTGATCCGCTTGAGTTACAAACGGCTTTGAGTCTTTAGACATTTTTTTCCTTATTAAAATAATAGAAATTGGATCAATTTGTTCCAGAGGTGCAGAAAATCTCTGTGGATCAGAGTCCTTTCCTTAAGTGCTCAAACCACCCCCTACTGGTAGTGGACTCATCCCTTTGAGCACTAGAAACAGTTATGCCTTTCACTAAATCATGTTTTGGCTTCCTCCCAAATTATCATCTCAGAAATTGTCACCGGCCAGGTGTTTTTCATTAATGCAAACTAAGAGGATGTTTTTATTTTCATCTCTACTGTACTATGTGAGCTCTCCGAGGTCAGTGACATAACCCCTTTTGTCACATCAGCTGCTTTGATAGCTTCTTTTTTTTTTTTTTTTTTTTTTTTTTAAATTTTTCCTTTTGTTTTTTTTTTTTCAAAATTGTACCGTCTGTTTTGGGATCCCAAACATAATAGTGAGATCAGCCACATGTGTTTTGATTTTCATACTAAGCGATGAGATCTTTTTTAAATTTCATTGTAGCTCTAACAGCTGTCCTGTTACTCTTTTATTTTCTTCGCTGCACATTTTAGATCTCTTGGGGAATACACTCTGCTGTTATTATATTTAAAAATAACGCAACACTGGCACAAAAGTGTAACAAGTTCTGGGGAAATGTACAAAAAAAAACAAAACAAAAAAAAAACACTAAGAAAGTCCCGGGATTCAGATTCCAAAGAAACTTGTGTATTTTGAGTGAAAATTTGATGAAAATTTTCGGATTAAGATTCCAAGTTGTTCTAGTTCTAAGGGGTTTGGATTCCGAGGCCACACTGTAATCTTGGCTTATTAAAATTTATATAATTTGTTTTAAGTTTTTTTCAGTTGCTTAAATTTTACATAACAATATAATAATTTTACTTACCACTCTATAGATTTTACATACCACTCTATAGATTTTACATACCACTCTATTGATTTTACATACCACTCTATTGATTTTACATACCATTCTATTGATTTTTACATAACATTCTATTGATTTTCTGCTAAGATTAAAAATTATGTTGACTCAATGATTACTTAAAACAAATAAGAAAAACATACAAAATTTCTTAAAATATAATTGCAAATTCACTTGTTAACTTATTTGAAATTTTGATTTTTCAATACCGGGTACAGATGTTGCTGTTCATCTATACTAATTTTGCTCTGTTCCTTATAAAAAGATGGGCTCTCAACTTCTATTTGTTTTACTTTTGGATGTTTAAAGCTTAGCTTTATTTGTGTGTTTAACCATTTTTGCAGAATCTTTTTGACAGCCTGTTATAAAAAAATAAGATAATTGTAAACGTGTCATACGTCTTTTAACATGATTATGGACACATAATCTCCATTTGCTTAATATGGTTACATATTTTAAAAAAACAACTGCACTTCAATTCATTCCTTTAGTGAAATATTTAAACAATATAACAGAAAGAAATCCTTGTGACTTTTTTGTGTCTAGCATCTCCAGTTCTGTAAAATATATAAATACAATGTGAAATAAATTTTTTTTTTTGTTGATCTTCAGTAAATTTGTTGTATTCACGTGTCTGCTGGTCTTCACCGTCCTGTTCTCATTGCGACTAGACAAAAGTATTACTTGGAGCTATTGGTTCGTCTTCCTTCCGATATGGGTCTGGAAGCTCCTTGTCATGATTGGGGCTTTCATTGGCAGTTCTGTGTGGCTGAGGAACCCACAGTATAGGTAATATTGATATGCCTTACAAGACACATGCAACACAGTATTCATCATTTTAAAATCTTGATGGACGAACATAGATTGTATTGTTATATATATTGTAATGACAATATATGTGTATGTATGTATATATAAATATATATATATATATATTATATATATATCAATGTTACAGGGCTTATTTAAAAATTCCAGAATTAAAAAAAAGGCAATGTGTTACACAATTATAAAGTAAAAAGATGGAATTATGTTTTAGATTACCCTGTCACTGACTATGCTCATTACCCTGTGACTAGTTATCTTCATTACCCTGCCACTAGCTGTGTTTATTACCCTGTCACTAGCTGTCATACGGTTCTTTAAACCACTTGGATGATGTGTTATGTTATAAATAACTGTTTTATAAATACGTGTGTTCTCAGGCAGGAGGCCAGCAGCGCCAACCAGTATAAAGCCATGATTGTGTCCTGTGGGGAGCACTTGGCCCTCCTGATGTTTGAGCTGCTTGTTGTCATAAACTTGGAGTCGGATGGCCACAACTGGCTCATTGTCTTCATACCCTTGTTCATTCTCTCGGTCTTCTGCATCGGCGCTTGTATCTGGTGTGTGAAGAATGACAGGTCCTGTGAGGTCAGTGCGCCCGTCCTCTTTACTCATGTAGCAAAAATTCAGATTATCGTTCTTAATTCAGTATTTTTAATGTACTACATTTTATATTTTGAAAATAGTGAAAAGAAAGTAAGATAAGCCTGCAGTGATGTTCTCACTGTGGGGAATTAACAGGATGTAAACAGAAGATAACCTATAGAAAATGTGACATTTACTGCAGCATGTTAAACTAACGGTAGATGACTCTAGTCTAGAGAAAATGTGATAGTTACTGCAGCGTGTTGCACTAACTGTGGATGACTCTAGCCTTGAGAAAATGTGACAGTTACTACAGCATGTTACACTAACTGTGGATGACTCTAGCCTAGAGAAAATGTGATAGTTACTGCAGCATGTTACACTAACGGTGAGTGACTCTAGCCTAGAGAAAATGTGACAGTTACTGCAGCGTATTACACTAACTGTGGATGACTCTAGCCTAGAGAAAATGTGACAGTTACTGAAGCATGTTACACTAACTGTGGATGACGCTACCCTAGAGAAAATGTGACAGTTACTGCAGCGTGTTATACTAACTGTGGATGATTCTAGTCTAGAGAAAATGTGACGGTTGCTGCAGCACGTTAATCAAACTGTGGATGACTCTAGCCTACAGAAAATGTGACAGTTACTGCAGAGTGTTACACTTACTATTGATGATTCTAGCTAGGCATTATCAGGCATTTTTATCAGGATGGATACAATAAAAGCACCCCCCCCCCCCCCCCCACAACTGATTATATTTTTTACACATAATCTTATTAAACAGACTATCTCAATTATGTGTAAAGGTCCTGTGTTAAATTAATGCATTTCTCTCAGACTTTGTTACACATGTGAAGTAAGATTACCCAGAATTTTTTTTCTGGGTTAATAAAAAAAGAAAAAAGCACGCTGTAATTGAAAATATAATCCATTTTTACGAAGTTGATAAAAATTACACAAATGCTTTCTGTAGCACAACACGTCCAACTTATAAACTTAAATGCAGTAAGGGCATATATTTGAAAGAAGATTGTTTAACATGCTCATCAAAAAGAGCTCTCATCAAACACAGGTTTCGTAAAAAAAAAAGAAAAGTTTTTGTGATTTTTAACATTTGAAAGAAGTTACCGGTAACAAAAAACATTCTTGTGTCTGTGCATTTCCAGCTGGAGCTGTTTTGTGCTGTGAACATCTTACAGTTCATTTTCCTTGCCCTGAGACTTGATAACATCATAGTGTGGAGCTGGGTGGTGAGTTATCATCATTTAATATATAGTGTAAAATGTAACAGAGGTAGTTAAAGTATGTTTATTTTCACATATGTCCAATTAAGATATCTCAAGATGACTAGATCTAATGCCATCATTGTTTATTTATTTGTGTGTAGTTAAGGGCTTAGTGTTAGAAAATTATTATGAAGACTTTTTATGTTAACACCTTCAACGTTTATCAAAGGCTTTTTATGTTAACACCTTCAAGGTTAATCAAAGACTTTTTATGTTAACACCTTCAATGTTAATCAAAGGCTTTTTATGTTAACACCTTCAATGTTAATCAAATACTTTTTATGTTAACACCTTCAATGTTAATCAAAGACTTTTTATGTTAACACCTTCAATGTTAAGAAAAGACTTTTTATGTTAACACCTTCAATGTTAATCAAATAATTTTTATGTTAACACCTTCAATGTTAAGAAAATACTTTTTTTTTTTACAACCTTGAGCGTCTCTTTTCAAATAATTATCTTATAAAAAAAATGGAAAGGTTGAGTCATATTGAAATATTTAGATGGGTACCTAATAGTACTTGTTTATTCTCCATACTTTTACTTGTAGATTGTGTTCATTCCAATTTGGATCATCATGTGTGTGGCAATGATTGGTGTCTTGTATGCTGTGGCTCTGGCGATTATATTGCTGCGCTCTCCAGACATTTTAAGTGAGCAGAGGCGGGGCAATGTGTCCACGGCCATTGGCTACTCCTTCCTTGTGATTCCACTCCTGGTCTTTGAGGTAATCTATTGAATCCAATCCTGGACTTTAAGATAAGCCTTTGACTCAACTCCTCGTCAATGAGGTAAGCCATTGGCAACTCCTTCCTTGTGATCCCACTCCTGGTCTTTGAGGTAATCAGTTGATGCCACTCATTGTCTTTGAGGTAAGTTATGGATTCCAATCCCGGACTTTAAGATAAGCCATTGACTCAATTCCTCATCAACGAGGAAAGCCATTGGCAACTCCTTCCTTGTGAAAGGCACGCTTCGTCTCTGAGGTGATCAAATGGCAATTAACATATTTAAATCATAATGTTAAATATTGTCAATTCTGTCAGTAAAAACATGCTTAAGAGAGTTCTGAGACATGTTGTTTTTTTATTCAAATTTTTTGCTATATATTTTCAAAACTTAAAATTTTTTAATGAAATGTTGGCAGTTTTGACTTTCAAGACATTTCTTTCTATTTATGTTTTAACCTATATTTGAAATGAAAACCCATGATTTAAGTTATTAATTCTTGTGAAAATGAAATAATGGTAAACAAATTGTTTTCTCTTATGTTCTTAAAATGTGTACTTTTTATTTTCAAAGAATTCAAAATTTTCCTAAACTTTTGAGTAGTTTTTCTTTAGTGCACAGAATACAAGAGCTATTTGTTTAGAATTCAATAAGATAATTTGTTTTTTTTAAGCAGTGCCAGGGCATGTCCACTTGTACTCACATTTAAAATATTTGCACATGTCCATAAGCGAATAAGCTTTAATTTTGTTTTCGTTTCGTCCCTCTCCAGATACTCCTAGCCAATCGATTGGATCACATGAATGATTTCAACTTTATCACAGTTGCTGTGCCCCTGGTCATCTCCCTTGTTTCTCTCATTTGTTTGGCATTTGGTGCCAAGGGAGGTAATTGCTGTAAGTGTTTCTTTTTAATGCTGTTCACACAGCTCCATTTCAAAGTTATGGGGAGAGTGTAGGACTTTGACATAAACAAAACCTTCACCTGCACTTTTAACACACTTAAAAGTTGTTGATTTGTTAAGAACTGTTTATTTTATAGTTTATTAAGATAAATTTACACTTGGATTTCTTGTGTGTAATGATATAAATAAAACGCCTTTTTCCGCATTGAATTAAATAAGAGCATGCATCAAAGAAAGTTTACATTTTTTTTTTTATCAAAGTGTAACTGTATATCAAAACGAGCAGATGTTACCTGGTGTTACTCTGGTAATACTCGGGTAATAAACTTGATTTTAAAATTTTTTAAAAAAATTACAGCTTTCAATTTTGTACCCCAGTTAATACATGGTTAGCAGATAGTTAAGATTAGCCCAATGTGAATTGACAGAAAGGCACCTAATTTTAACCCATCAAAATGGCCAAAAATAGATTTTTTATATGAATTAAAAATGTTTTTGTTGCTGGAGTTTGATGTAACTTTCCAGAGGCCATCTTTAGGTCAGGGGGTATGACCTTGTCAAATTTAGATGCGATCCGTTTTTTGTTTGCTTTGTTATAAACTAACTCATTTAAAAATTTAAATACATACATACCGACATACATGGTCACACTGAGGTTTATAGTGTAGATATTCTACCCATTTTCTTCCTATGATTTATTTGTTTGCTGTAGTGATTGATGTCCGCAGTAGACTTTGTCCATTCTAGTTCCCAGTGAATATAACCAACATTGTTGACATATGTTTAATGTGACCCATCATTGTTGAGTCAGATTATTTTTATAATTCAAGTGTGACAATGTCGTGGAAAATTAATTCCATTTTCGCACAAATTACCTTGAAATTTAAGAATAATTGTTTTTTTGATCTGTCTCCTAATAAAAATAATAATATGACTTGTAAACATCATTTTTTAACAGTAGAATTATCGAAGTCTTTCTTTACAAATTTCTACCATGAGGACTACGATTAGTCAATTAGTATATTTTTTTTTGACAGGGTGGTTTGGCATCAGAAAAGACTTCTGCCAGTTCCTGCTCGGAGTCTGTCCATGCCTACAAGAATACGGAAACATCTCCTACTCCATACAGAGCAATGACCACGACCCCCAGCCGCGCTCACCGGCAGAGGAACATTCGGACCACAGCCTACCGGAAGTCAAGGTCAAACTCAAAGGCAAAGAAATATCAGATGAACCCAGGCAGTCTATACCTGTCTTGTCCATGGAGAGCCCTGATTAAAAACTTGTTCATCAGGGTGGCTTTTTTTCTCTTCAATGACATATTCTAGCTTGGAAATAAAAATGTCCATTCCGTTTCAGTAACTGAAATGCTGAAAGGGTGCAACTTCAACCATGTTAGAGCTATCCTCTGACAACTGCTGCTGTACTGCCATTGGGTCTTAAAAACAGCAAAAAGGATGTCCTTGCCATCAGCTGTTTGTATCACCAGTGTGTCGCCAGTGTGTCGCATTTGGAACTTGATGTTAACAGGAGACTTTTGTTCTTTTAGAAATAATGTGCTATGGCTTACATTCTCAGACGTAGGCTGAGAAGGTATTGATCAATAAAATCTGAATATTTGTCTTTGTCGTGCATCAATAAATTTAACCGATCAGACTTCTGGTGACCATTGGGGTATGTTGCTTGGGCCCAACAGATCAGACATGTGGACCAAGCGGATATGTTTTGGATCTCATGACTTTAACAACTTCTATGTATAACAAAGTGTAAATAATGTTCGATGTGTTTTACAACTGGTCCAGGCGACATCAGGGTATCATTCTTCATGATCTTGATTAGAAACTTCATACAAATGTTTGTGGTGTGTTGCTCAAGTGTGTAGATGTGTAAGCCTGAATGAGTCCAAGCACCTTCTCTACTGGGAAAATAGATTTCATGGTAGAACCTGGATGGCCACTGAACTGCTTTTCATCCCCTTGTTTCACATGTTGTGTACCTGGCTGACATTGTAAGAGCTGCTTAAATACAGAGATGTTCACTTACACCCTTTGTATCTACTGACTGATGGATGCTGAGACAGACCTGTGATTATGTAATTAAATTTGGCGGGATGTATTGCGCTTTTGAGTTACAGTTAAAGCGGCACAAAGACATGGGCCGGTCCAGGTCTTTGCACAGTGATCGACTGGAATACACGCCCTGGCAAAAACTTTTATAACATAGGCAAACTGCGCTTGTAATGCAGATATTAGAATATCTGCATTTATTCAGCCCAATTGAAAATGTTAAATCAGAAAGAGTAAACATTTGGTTTTGCTGTAAAACATTTGATTGAACTATGTAGTCAGAACATACAAGGCTTATGTTTGAAGTATGTATTCAGAGCATGTAAGTATAAGGCTTATGTATGAAGTATGTATTCAGAGCATATACGTATAAGGCTGATGTATGAAGTGTTCATTCGGAACATACAAGGCTTTTACAGAGGCCAGCTGACTTGGTTTGGCTCCTTTAGAGCTAGATCAAGGGTTGCATTTGGGATGATTTACATTCATTCCTTGTGCTTGTTCTGATTGGCTATGAAGACCAGATTTGCTTCGTGAGCCACTTATCATTTTCAAAATGTTGTTTGTTTGGCTTCAGTGTTGTCATCATCCTTATCTTTCATTGAAGTTTTTTGTTTTACCTTCAGTTACCCCACTACCCCCACGCCCCCATTTTGTGATCTCTCAGACATGATCCCTTATTTTGTCTTCCTTTACACTTGAGGAGATATGTGATATCAATGTGTGTTTGACTTGTAGTATTCGCGACATGAGATATATAGATGTATATATATTTTTCATCTGTTATTCTCTATTGTGTGAACTCGAAACTAAATATAACTTAATTGGAAGTGCTCACTATAAAAACCTAGAAGAGGGCAGGTTTTTTTTTTTTAATGGCCATTGCAATTATTCCAACAGATATTGCAGATTAAATATAGAAATCACTGTTTTCCAACCATTTTCAATGAGCCGTTTGATATTTCCCAATTTTTATCGTGCCTTTAAATTTGATATGTTTTACCCGGTTGTTAACTAAAAAAAAAAAGACACAAGCTTTCTGTCAACAGTTATATGATTTCTAAGGTGAAATTGTAATTAGGTAAAACAAAGCAAAGAATTGTTCCAGTTAACAAAATGTGTGCAAAATACCTGAATTAAATTTGAAAACAATGCATAAGGTACTAAAAATAAGTTACCCATAATGGACACAAGGCACATGAAATGATTCCTTTGCAATATTTGTTTTAATATTTTCTATTATGTATTGGTTTCAAATGTATTTTTTTGTGTGTACCATATAAAATTGGTCTGTTCCTCAATAGCTATTAGGTCCTCTTTTAAAAGAGATTAGGTCCTCATTTGAAAGCTATAAGGTCATCTTTTACTTTCATTTCATCGGAAGCTTATCAGATCTTTGTACTGCAGCATAAATTCATCTCTTGAGTTTTTCTCATCTTTTGTTTTTTACTCAGGGTCAGTGTTTTATTATTTATATGACTTATGCTTATGACTTAATTGAAACTTATGCTTGACTTATGAAGTCATTTCAGGAGTTCTTGTTATTTATTTGCTATGTCTACATTTTGAATAACTACTTGGAGAGGGTAAAGGGACCTTGTGTAGTCAAAGTATCCGGATTGTGGTTCCAGAAGATGCAATAATTTCTTATTCATATAACTGCAATGTTAGTTGCAAGGCCACCTTGTGCAGGGGACTAAGGATTTCATGTGATCATGAGCTGAATTTGTTTTGAGAACCATTGTTGGAAAAAAGCTTTAAAGTGACCCAGTTAACTGTACAACATGAACTGTTCAAGTTTCTTTATTATTTATTAGAATTCTGTAGTCCTAATTAGGGTGTTCCTCAGCACTGATGAAGTGCCTTGTTTGAATTGATGTCTATATTTTCTTACCTTTGCTGCTGAGCAGACAGAAACTACTTCATTGTTGACTCTGTTTTTTTTGTTTCTCTTGAATGATGTAGCTTTATCCTTGTTTGTACAATATGAACAATCTATCTTTGTGATAGAGCAGGGGGGGGGGGGGGGGGGGGGTTCTGGTAAATGGATCATGGGAAGCACGGGCTGCAGCTGTCTGTAGCCATTGTTAAAAGCTGAAGGAAATTTTAGTGTACTAGCAGCTGTCACTTTGTGGTGACATGTTTGTCAGAAATACACGTTACCCAAGAACTGGTAATATGTTGGATAATGAAAAATTTACCACTATGTTGCATCCATATTCAAGTGCTCTAGTTTCTTATGAGAGACCCATAGTAGAAACATAACTATTTCTGAGACTCAAGTTTCCAAAAACTGAATTTTACTGGAATGTTGATATTCTCCTGTTATTTTCAGTGGACTTAGGTTGAGGAAAAAGATTTTGCAACTTTTAAAATCTTATTAGTTTCTAGGCTTTGACATAATTTATGATTAAATAGTAATTTTTTTTAAGATACTGTGCCGCCATCATTTTGCACAGCTTTTAGAAATAAAAATTTCATCTGGATTACTTTTGATTCTAAAGAGATTACTTTAGCGTGATTTGGAAATTAAAATTAAAAGGACAATAAATGAATCTTTGTGAAGGAAATAGTGGAACAAGGCAGGTGGAGCCTGAAATATAAAGACAGCACAATAAAGTGGCAAAGTTTGGTGAAAGAGAGACAGGACAAAAAGAGAGATAACAAGAAATGTGAAACAGTTAAAAAACACTTAAGTGTTTGAATAACATGAATGCCATGTTATTGTCAGAAGTTGGGTTTTCCAAAACAAAAATGTGCTCTATCCAAAAGATTGCAGGAAGTAAACTTATTAATTTACCGATACTATTGCTGTGAAAAAATCAGATTTTTTACCAAAATTAAAAATAGCACCTTATTTAAAAATAATAAAATTAGGTCATAATTATATAAATCATTCATGATACCCAACAAAACCTGTCCACTGATACAGGTGGCTACAGTGCATATGGACTTATACATGGTCAGGTATCTGTGTCATATCCCGGCTATCAGAGTCCCTTTTGTCAATGCAATTGTACGCACTAGCACAGTATAAGACATAGGCTTAGTAATTTTTCTTGCTTCTTTGAATATTTTTTCTTGCTTCTTTGAAACATAAATGTTTGCTGTTATTATTATTAAGTAACATTGACACAATTGAAACAGTTTCTTTATTCTTATTTCTTTCAAGAAGTCTAATTTCGGTCATATTTAATCACATTTGTAATACAGTCATGTAGGTTAGACAATAATACGGTTCTGACCTGCCAGGCTCAGGAGACACGAGCTCATCTGTTGACTTCGTGCACAGTACTGGATATTGCCAGTGAAGCAGGGGCGGCAGGAGAGTCCTATGTTACATGGCACAGCCCAGCGGACAGAGCTGGCTGCCAATGTACTGGCCGCTGCTTCAAGAGCGTAAGCTCAAGTCTAAACCAGAATATATACGTTAGTTAATAGTCTCAACAAAAAAAAAATTGAAGAAAAAGAAATAAAGATGTGCTTGCACACTTGAGGGGCACGGCTGTAATTCACTTGATGTTTATAAAAATGGTCATGACTTAATGTATTTATCCTGATGCTGTGTGCTATAGGTTTGTCTAGTGAATGGGTGTAGAGACCTTTGGTGGAGCCTGTGTCCCCTCAGTGGGACTGGTGTGCATTCCTTCAACTGCTGACTGCCTTGGGTTGAACAGTAATGTCACAGTCAATTAGGAAAGGGCCATTTGTGATACTTAAATATTTTTTTAATGCTGTCATTGAACTACAAATAGTGTAATAATATAATGTGATATTGATTTATTTTTTAAAACATTTTGGTGGGGGTTTGTGGGGCAATAGTGTACTGTACAACAAAATATCTGTTATCAGTAGATTTTGACTTCTGTTTCTAATCTTATCTCTTAAAAAATGGATTTATCATTGTGTCTGTTGACGCACTCCACCTACATATCACTTAGGATCATTTTGTGTTTTGAATATGATTCATTTTTCGCGTCCTTCTTGAATTCATTTTTTGGCTAAACATTTTGCGCTTCCAGAATGAAACATAACAGAATGCCCCTTATTTCACCTTCATTATGAGACATAACATTTGCCGAAAGCTGTAAATGTAATCAATTTAACACATTCATATCGCCTTGGTGCAGCATCTAATGCAAGAAGGGATAAGTCAAAGACACACAGGTTAAATTAATCAAACATTTATCATAATTTTATGATACCTTTGTAAGAACAATACATACAAACTTTTCACTACAGTGCATAAACTGTTCTTTTTATTTATTTCACATTCTTCCTCCATGGACAGCTAGCTGCTCCTGCCTTACTTTCTGTTGGAACCACTGACTGTGTTACAGTTTGGGACCTTTCATTGTCAGGATTAAATCTATGTTTTATTTACAAACCAGTGGTCTCCAACCTTTTTACTTAGGAAGGGATAGTTTTTCGTTTTTTTTTTAAAAGCACTCATGTAAACATTAAAATTGAGGAATAAATATTTTGACCATTTCTAAATATACTTTTATCCATGAAAGTTTACACATCTCCTGCATTCAACTCCTTCAGGAATGTTTGGTGGAAAAGGGGGGGGGGGGGGG